TTTTGGATTTAACATTTGTCTTATTGCATCTTACCTCATTGTCATCACTTAGTAAACACAAGAATCAAATGTAAGATGTAATGACACATTTCAAATTTCCATCATAAAAGAATATGGTAGGGGCTGGCCTTTGCACGACATACGTGAAAAGATTCATCAAACTATGATCCAACAATACTACAATGCACCTTTTTCATGAACTTGTTATATAACGTCACTACCTTGACATCTCTAACATGTATCCCGCCAAGCGGAATAACTATCTGCACACCCATAATTATGACTGTATATATTGACCCTCCCAGAAAACTGAGAAAAAAAAAAAACAAAAAACAAAGTAGCATTTGATCCTCTTAACACAGTAGAAAATTGATAGGACAATAAATTGGTTTGGTTTAGTTAATTAAGATAGTTTAGACTGATAGCTTTTAAGTTATTCTTATAGCCTTTGTTATTTAGTGTTGTCTTTTCTTATCATTGTATTATTATAAATAAAATGCTTTGAATGCTACTGATTTGTTTTCAGAAAGTTTCCTCTTATTTCAGGTTGAACCATTGAAGCTCATTGAATCAGTCTCTTTGTCAAGAAACACTTAAAATTGAGCCTATAGCATACAAAATCCGGCATAAAATTTTACAGAAACCCCAAATTTTTCATCGATCACTGAATATCAGCTCCTTAACAAACTCAATTATTGTTCCCAAAAAGAAAAAAGAAACAGACTCAAGTAATTTCCAGCAAAATTCCAAAATGCAACAACTCTCAGATTATCGTAACCTCGCCCAAATTTCAACCGTCAGTTCATCAACTATCAAAACCAGCAGCAGAGCAAGAATCGACGATTTTGGTCAATTCCTACCAGCTTGATCTCAAAAAATAATAACAAAACACCAAACTCATAAAAGAAAACAATTATGATTCGACGAAAAGCTTTAAGAACGAAAGAATACTCACTGGCGAGGAGTTTCTTGTGCATCTTGTTAATCTCAAGAACAACAACCTCCTGCTCCTTCCGGAGCCGATCGAGCTCCTTCGTGTTAACCAAAATCCCGTCAATGTCGAGCGACGACATTGCTCAGTGGTCCGAGTAGGAAATTTTAGCGCTAATCAAATCGAACTGTTGAAGAACAACAACAAAAAATCTAAATCCTACCTAAAAATTTGGGCTTCTGGGTTCCTCATTCAATGCCCCTCTTCCAACTGAAAATTTATATATAATTTTGTTTTTCCCCTCTAAAAATTTCTAGAGAGAGATGGGGGAGCTGAGAGAATTGCATGGTTGTGAAGAAGCGTTAATTATATACATTATTTATTTATTATATATAAAATAAAAAAAAATTAAGAATTATTATAAATCCTTCAAATTTTAAAAATTTTGAACAATTTTTATAGTTTATTATATATATATAATATTAATAAGTTTGTGAACTATGAAAATAATTTTCAAATTTTTATTTTATATATAATAAATATTTTTAAATTTTGTGATATTTTTTCTTAATTTACAAAATTATTACAATTTTTTTAAAAAAATTTAAAATTTATTAGATACCAAAATAAATATTTAGAAAACAGAAAAAAAATGCTTTTATTATAAATAATTTATTTAAATCTGATTTATTAAATTTTATTTTGATTCTAATATTTTAATATGTATATATATCTATATAAACAAATTTTGAATATTAAATACATGTTCGGGAGTTATTTAATCACACGAAGTAGTTTCTTTTTTTTTAAGGAATATGCACAAAACATTTGTAAACTATATAGATTATTACAGTGTAACGTTCAAACTATATAATTGTTACTATTCAATCGGGTATTCATATGACCTAGTAACCATACCAATCTGGACAACTTAACCCGAACCATACAAGTTGGGCAGGGTTGGGTTTCCTTTTTTAGTTTGGGTTTACATTTTTTGGTCGAATCAGCTTTAAAATAAGGTTACAACCCAACACAATCGTACCCTGTGTTTTTTTTTTTTTTTAAATTAAGAATATTTAAGCTTGTAACCGATACCAGTGATGCATTCAAATCTTACATAAACGATATATCTATCGAAAGACCAAAATCTCCATGAAAACTGATGATTTACAAAGATCAATAAACAATATATCGATCCAAACAGATCTACAAGATAGAGCCCTATCATGAGTGAAATCACCAACAAAGATCATAAGGTCTATCCCAGACAAATCAAACAATGATCATGCACAAGTCGAGTAGATCGAACTGGCTCGAGCCCATCTACCCCAAGAGTGCACCCTCAAAACCCTCGTGTTCTTCAGTAAATATGGAAGAAGGACATGCGTCTAATATGTACTCACTAAATCCTTACTCGTACCACATCTCTAAAAAAACCTACTCGAGTCAGACATTACAGTGTATAAGACCGAGCACTAGCCTGATGTCGACTTATTTGGTATATATATATATATATGTGTATAGGTATAGGTATATTTCCTTTCTTGAGAGTAAGCAAGTTTTGGGCCTAATATATGGGCTTTTAAATTTGGGCCTAATATATGGGCTTTTAATGTTGGGCCCCAATATATGGGCTTTAATGTTGAGTTGGGCCGAAGAAATTCGAGGCCCAATGGACGACGCTTATTATTATTTATTTATTTATTATTATTATTTTGGCGATCTCGCGCGCTCTGAGGCGCCCACAAATGTCGTCGTATTTCGAAAATTTGAGGGAATTGAAGGCTGATTGAGAGCGCCTGTTCTACTCTTCCCTCTGGTTCGTTTCTCGCTCGGTTTCCTTTCATGGAGTCGATTGCTGCAGCCATATCTATGTCTGTAGAAGAAGAAGGGGATTGGGAGCTCTGCAACGACGATGGCTTTGTCTACAAGCGGAAGAGGCGCCGGCTGGACCCGGCGGAAGCCGTTGCAGCTCGCTCGTCGGTGGCTCAGGCGGCGGACCTTGAGGCAGAGGAGAATCGGCGGCGAGAGCGCAGGAGGATGACGTTGTTGAAGGTTAGAGCCAAGTACCAGAGAGAGATTGAACAGTGGGAGGTTTTGTCGAACAACTTGCGGGCAACGGAGGAGAGGACTCGGAAGCTGCAGGAACAGTACCGGCGGGAAGGGGAAGAAGGAACGGCGTTGTTTCTGGAGGCTTCCTCGTTGAACTCGGTTCAGGAGAAGGAGCTGTCTTGCGCGTCAATGGTGGAGGATCTTCTCTCTCAGGTATGTTGCCCTCGGTTTTGTATCATAATTTGGGGAAAAGACGCAATGGATTTAAATTTATAGCTTCATGCGTTAATTCATCCAGGAATTTCCTCAAATTTCTCGTAATTCATCATTTGTTGGCAAAATTTAATGTCTAGATAGAACGAATTTCCAGTTCAGTTTGCGTCTTTCTCTTCAAATTGGCTGAAATTGTGTTCGAATTGATTATTCCTTTGCTCGCTCAACAAATTATGAGACCAAACATGTTCCTCTTTCAGTGGTATGAGGTTTAGATTTAAGAAATCCACTATCAACACCATATTCAAGCAACCATTTGATTACGAGGACGCGGAATTTTGAAATCCCGGCCATTGGAATGCCAATTTTTCCCTAACTGCTGGCTAACTTCAACTCCAATTTGCTATCCCGACTGAGATCAGGAGAGAAACTCGTCATTTTTCGCTAACCAGTGTTGGAATTTCTCGATTACATTACTCCAAAAGCCAGCCAATATTTAGTTAAAACTCTCGATCACTTGAATATAATTGAGGTAACAAAAGCCAACCCATGTTGGAGATACCCTCCAATGGGTCGAAGCTTCGAGTAGAAACTTCAATTATATAATTTTGTTATCTCCTAGAGTTGGCATCAGAATAGGCAAAATTGGGTCGACTTCTTCAGAATTATTAGGGTGGGTTGGAGCATAATGCAAAGAACGGGCCCCTCCCAAAGCATCTTTTCCTCTGGCCACCATAGTGTTTAAAAAAGAAATAGTTTCTCAATTAGGTGATCCATCCTAATAATTATATCTGTGCAGGTGGAAGGTCAGGAAGCCATCATTCGTAATGTTTCAAATCTTTGTGATATCGCCGAAGCATTGTGCAAAACGGAAGCAGACCAATTGAAACAGTGTCTAATCGATCTTCCAATTTGGGCATCACCTCGTGAACTCATGGCCTCACTATGTGACGAATAAAAAACTTGGGCAATGAAGAGAAACAGAAGCTGGGGACCTTCCATTTGTAAGCTCTTACTATGTAAAAACTAATCTGTAGCATACTTGTGGAGATCACATTCTTTGTTACAATAGATTGTGAACCCTCAAGTATATGCCTCTCCCTCATCATGCTATTCTACTTAGTTTATTGTCGATACTAAAAGAAATTTAATGCTCGAATGGTCGAATTATTATAGAATGTCGTGAAAATATCAACATAGTAATGAATGTTCTAACTTTTGTGGGTTGTTGTACCCTTTGTGCTTCTTTAATGAATGTTCTATTCTACTTAGTTTATTGTCGATATTGTAAGAAATTTAATGGTCGAATTATTATAGAATGTCGATGAAAATATCAACATATTGATGAATGTTCTAATTTTTGTGAGTTGTTGGACCCTTTGTACTTCTATAGTGAACGTTCTATTCTACTTAGTTTATTATCGATATTGAAAGAAATTTAATGATCGAATTATTATAGAATGTCGATAAATGTTCTAATTTTTGTGAGTTGTTGTACCCTTTGTGCTTCTTTAATGAATGTTCTATTCTACTTAGTTCATTGTCGATATTGTAAGAAATTTAATGGTTGAATTATTATAGAATGTCGATGAAAACATCGAATGTTCTCATTTTTGTGAGTCGTTGGACCCCTTTGTGCTTCTTTTTTCTGATTCCTGATGATTCCTGATGTTGCTTTAAGTAGGAAATGTAGGGTTTTAAGTGCACAGGTTTGCTTTTGCACAACTATTGCAAGGAAGGCAGACATTTATAGGAAAGCAGTGATATCAGTTAAAAAGAGGTAAAGATTTCTTTACAACCATTATGATCATTGAATTTCTCATTATCTAATTCCCAATAGAATTCAGAAACATTACATGCCAAGATTCTTGATTGTTGGAAAGATGGGTGTGCCAGCACTCAATGATCCTACACATCTCTTGGAAAAAGCTAAGATTCTCAAACTTTTTCTTGAGTTGACAGTAATCCCAAACTTTCTTACATTTTACTGTTTGGCTTATTGGGCATTCTCAGAGAACTAAATCTACATAAGTCGAACTGTGCCTTTGGATCAGTAACACTTGTTAAAGCAGAAGAAGGAGCTTGTTGGGTTTTCTTCGATCATGCCGTGTGACGCTTCCCCCGAGCCGTGCCTTACAGCCATCAAGGAATTTGTACTGGGAGATTCGGGTGGCATAACGACATCTTCAGCACATATCCGAGGTGGGATCGCAGGTGCTCGTGGTGATATTTTAGAAAGGGACTGCAATAGCATCTGTATAATCTGGCTGAAGTTTGGCCTTGTATTTGGATCCTCTCTCCAACATGATGTCACTATTAAAGCCAAGTCTTCTGGAAGATTTTCAGCACTAGGCCTCATGTTCTGAAAACACCAAAGCTAAGAGTTAGAACAGGGCATTTGAGATGTGCTACAATAAAGAACTGATTATTGAACTTGTTTAGTAGTGCAGTTCCTCTAAACTGCCATTTGACATCTTCGAGTTTGCTTTAAGTCATTTTCTTCACTGGAAATAAGAACATTCTTCATGTACCTTGACATTTGTTATCTACTTTCAGGCAAATTGTGCATGAAAGATCATATAATCAAGGGTTAATAAGAGAAGGGCTGCAGTTTCATATACTTTCAGGTGTTACATGAAATGTATATATTTTTTTTCATATCATTATTTTAGGTGCGTGGATGCTCAAGTTCACTACAGATATTGTCCTCTTTGAGATTTTTCTGATGTGTTTCTCCTTTAGGTTTTAAAATGCATTTATTAGGGAGAGATTTCAACACCCTTACAAAGAATGTTTTGTTTCCCTCTCCAACCAACGTGGGATCTCACAATCCACCTCCTTTGGAAGCCCAGCGTTCTCGCTAGTACATCACCCGAAACCTAACTCTGATACCATTTGTAACCGTCCAAGCCCACCGCCAGCAGATATTATACTCTTTGAGCTTTTCCTTTTGGACTTCCACTCAAAGTACACCGCTCAGAACCTGACACTAATGATGTCACTATTAAATGCGTCTAACAAAAAGAGATTTCCACGTCCTTGTAAAATAATGTTTTGTTCCTCTCCGACCAAAGTGAGATAAGATTAATCAATGTAATAACATAAAATTTGATGGGACATCATAATCATAGAGATAAAAATAGAAAGTTGTCAGGAACAGACTGTTTAAACAAATAATAATGAGTAGTAATTTGATACTATGATGCAAGGAGAAGCAGAAGAGAGTAGGTCCACTAGATTAAGCTAAAGGTAGGTAAGATTTGATGAGTCAGGCAATCAGATCCAATTTAAACTTGTCAGCTCACTTTATTGTTATTATTTTTAACTCACCTACTACTCCCTTGTACCACTCATACCCCCATTACCTCAAATCATCACTGTTCTTGGAATTCAAATTGAAAGTTTAAAGATGTAATTCAAACCTTTCCAAGTTAAAGAGTCCTAGAGAAACTAGTTGGGATTCTGACCCAAGATTTCATAGGATACCAAATGACCATCTAAAACTGGCTTGAGAAGAACGAATAATTTCTTATAAGGGTTAGGAAACTCTACCTAACAGATGCATTTTAAAATCATGAGACTGATGGCGATACGTAACGGGCCAAAGCGGACAATATCTACTATCAGTGGGCTTGGACAGTTACAGGATAATTATAAGACATTATATTACAATACATGCTTACCTTAAAAGCAGCTGCATATGCCGCCTGTAAATTCGACATGCCTTCGAAAGGCAACCTGTTAAGAATGAGCTCCCACAATACAATGGCAAAGCTGTAAGCATCAACTTTATGATTGTAATGCTTTTTATCTCCATGTTTTAAAGTTACTGTGCTATAGAGCTGCCAACAAATGAAAATAAAAGTTGTTAAGAGCATAAGAACCATATCAACATTTTAACCATAAAGAAAAAGACTTGGGAAAAAAAAGCACCTCCGGAGCCATCCATCTATATGTTCCTGTTTCTGCAGTCATCATCTCTGTGACTGATTCTTCTCTAGCCAAACCAAAATCAGCAAGCTTAACTGTTTTATGGTCTGCAGTCAATATCAAGTTCTCTGCAATGAAAGGGTCTCATTAGAGCTACTTATGAACCAGAAATTTGTATGAATATACTTCACTTGAATGTTTTCAAGTCAATTTTAACATGTCTACATGGTTGGAGTTTGCATTCGGTATTATGAACTATCCAACCAACTTCCTTGAAATCAGTTCAGAAAACAAATTGATTTATGGTTTGAAGCAATCACATCATGAGACGTAAACATTGATTTGAAAAGGTTTTGGACCTTCGTAGTTTGAACCACGTAATCAGATTAAGATATTGGTATGATCATGTTGAAACTGAATCCACACACAAAATATGTGAGATCCTACGTCGGTTGGGGATGAGAACAAAACATTCTTTATAAGGGTGTGAAACTCTCCCTCACAAACGCGTTTTAAAAACCTTGAGGAGAAGCCCGAAAGGGAAAGCTCAAAGAAGACAATATAAGCCAGTGGTGTGCTTAGGTCGTTATAAATGGTATTAGAGTCAAGCACCGGGCGATGTGCCAGCGAGTAGGCTGAGCCCTGAAGGGGGGTGGACACAAGGCGGTGTGCCAGCAAAGACGCTGGGCCCGAAGGTGGGGGTGGATTTTGAGATCCCACATTGGTTGGGGAGGAGAACAAAACATCGTTTATAAGGGTGTAGAAACCTCTCCTTAAAAGACGCGTTTTAAAAACCTTGAGGGGAAGCCCGAACGGCCCGGAGGACTTTTAAGATATAATTCATTGTAAAAAAAACAGTTGAAGCTTAAGAAGACCTCATTTCAAACAGCAGAAATCCATTGTAACTGCTATATCAGAAGGCCATCAAACGTGATTCATAATCAAATTCAGTAAAGAAAAACCTCCATATTTTTTCCTTCTCTCTTCCAAATTCAGTAGCTCTATTAGAAGGCAGTTTTCAGGGCAGAAGGAAATGATGAATCCACCAAAAGGATTCTATGCCATACACAATTCAGTAAAATGGCATCAGAGTGTCATCAGCTTAACTCCAAGAGATTAGTGTAAATGTCTGTACCTGGTTTAAGGTCACGGTGAATGATTCCATGGGAGTGTAAACACTCCACTGCACGAGCAATATCAAGCGCAAACCCGATCGCAACGTCAAGTTCCAGGCTCCTTGGCCTCAAATTCAAGAGGTATTTGCGCAATGTTCCACCTGTAAGTAATTCGGTCACTATAACCATCATAGGTTCCTTGCAAGCGCCAATAAACTGAAGCAAAAAAAAAAGTTCATCAATTGAGTAGCACAGTTAGAACATGAGAAACACTAGAAAAGCATCACAACGGCAATCACCAGAACCAAGTATGAAGTTTAGACAAAGAAAAAAAGAACTTCCAAAAGTAGAATTGATCATTGCCTTCACTAAGTTCTTGTGTTGCACTTTGGACAACATTGCAACCTCTCTAGCAAACCGAGCTTCTCTTCTAGCTATCCTCTCAGGAGTATCTCCTTTACCCACCATTTTAATAGCCACAATCTGATTTTTGTACCTGAGAGAAGAGACAGAAACAGAGGTTTTTAATATATCAGATTTCAGACAAACAAAAGAACAGGCAGAAAAACCAATTAAGATCAGTAAAAACGTACTTTCCCTCATACACCTTGGCATGGGCACCTTCCCCAATCTTCGGCCCAACAAAAAGATGCTTAGGATCAATCAACCATTTGGCATCCAAATTGAATTCACCAGTTGAATAAAACCCATTACCAGAATCCATATCTTCACTCAGGACTTTTATCAAACACCTTGACTACACTCTCTAACTTCCTCCTCGTTTCAGTCCCCTCACACAAACCTTTCCCATAAAAGACCCATCAGAAACTCAAAGGGTACGGAGGCAGTACTAAACCAAAGACAAAAGAAGTGAAATCACCCATCCCTAAAATCTCGCAAACGGATCGAGAAATTGAGCGGATTCTTGTGCTTGGTGGGGAAAGCATATACCACTCCACATGTAGGAAGCGGAAAATCCAGCAGCCCCAGAATATAAAAATGGGGAAATTGGGGGAAAACAAAAAAGATTAGTGTCAGAAGAAGCAGGGAAGAAGGCAATAAATTATGATATCGCAATCGGTGAAGGGAAAAGGAGAAGAGCAATGAAAAAGGAAGGGAGCGGCTGAAATTGAGCAGTGAAATTGATGCTTCTCCGCGTATGGAAGTGAATGCAGTTGCCATCGGCAATTTAAAGCTGCAAAAGAGTTGAGTTACTGTGCACTGTAGAGCGCGGCTCGTGATTTGACTTTGAATGCAAAAAATTGAAGAAGAAAAAAATTGGATTTTGAACGGAAGGCCAAATGCACGGATAAGGCCAAGATCTGTTACGTCTAATTAAAAAAATTTAAAAACTAAAAAAATTAAAAAATTAAAAAAAATATGAACAAGAGTTTTCTTTGTGTTTTTTAGTTTATTTTTAAAATTATTTAAATAAAAAAAAATATGTTACCTTTGAAAACAAAAATGTTATTATAACGAGACTAAAGTAATTTTTTAAAATTTAAATTTTAATATTACATCGTGATTTTCAACCTTTTATTACGGTAATAATAGTAACAAATATGAATAAGAGTTTTCTTTGTGCTATCTCTATTCTCTCTTTAAACGTAAATTTCTTCTCTTTGAAATAGGTCTCGGGTCCTATGGGTTAAATGGGTATCAAAGAGTTTTCTCTAAGTTCCCTCCCTATATCTCTCTTTAAACGCAAATTTCTCCTCTTCGAAATGGGTCTCGGGTCCTACAAGTTAAATGGGCATCAAAGAGTTTTCTCTAAGTTCCCTCTGTATATCTCTCTTTAAATGCAAATTTTTCCTCTTCGAAATGGGTTTCGAGTCCTACGAGTTAATAGGCATCAAAGAGTTTTCTCTAAGTTCCCTCTCTGTAAGCGAATTCTCCATCTTCAAAATGGATCTCGAGAGCTTATTTTTTTCATGCTCCCTCTCTATTCTCTGTTTAAACGTGAATTTTCCAAATGGGTCCTGGGTCCCTAGTTATATGGAAGCTCGTGAAGAGTAATTTGAAATTTGGGTGATTTTATATTAAAATAAATCCAATTAATGGTTTAACTTGGTCCAATTTTAATCATTTATTACTAAATCTAAATTTAAAAGCTTTACTAAAATATGAATTTGGTAAAAATATTTATTTCTAATAATATTTTTAAATGGAATTAAAAAAAATTAAAAAATCCTTATAAAACCATTTAATTTTTAGTACTTAAATTTTAAAAATTATAATTATTTCATAATAAAAAAAATGAAAATGGTATTAATGCTTAATTTTAAAAAATAAAAAATAATCTTCCTCTCACTTTCTTCTCTTTCTCTTTCTAACATTCCCTCTCCAATCATTCATTTTCAACCTTTTTTTTCAATAAAACTTGGTCCACAAAACACTATTTATTTGAATAATAATATAATTTGAAACTATCAATTCACATAAATTACTTTAATAAAATTAAAACATTAATTAATTAAATGTACTAGGTTCCATCTATTTCTGAACTATATGCAATTAGTTTCCATATATTTATATAATTAGAAATACTTTGATTCAAGTACCCGACCAATTCAGATCACCCAACTGAAGTAGTAAAACTTTAGATAAAAATAGTATTTGGTGAAGTTATTCATAAATAGATGAATAATAGAGAAAACTCACGAAAGAAATAGTAATAATTCATATAAATCACTTAATGGTAAATGCCTTGAATAAATACGAATAACTAATAATCCGGTTATATAGAAAAAAGTAACTATCATGCCTTTTCTGACGAAGCATGGAGTTCTACGGTATTTTTTGTTGGGTCAACCTAGCCTACCCGAAAATATAGTTATGACTCAGTCCTAGCCTACTTCCAACATCATTATGAAAATTAAGAATTGACATTTGTAACCGATATTTGAGATTTTAATTATTAATGTAATATGTATTGTGAATAAATAAGATTTTTTAAATAATTTAAAAAAAAAAACCCGCTAATTCAAATTATGAACTCGATTCGAGTTACTGAAATCACCAAGTCAACCAACTTGAAATTTTGGTTCGGTTCAAAAGATTTTTCCAACCCACAAAATATATAACAAATTACACAAAATGAAACAAACAATTCAAAATAAATTCTTAAAAATGTCCAAATCTATCTATATAAGAATACATAAATCAAATCACAACCCAACATTCAAGCAACATTCAAGCTTAGCAACAAATACCCAAAATGAAAATGAAAATTTTAATTTATCATTTAAAAAATTATAATAATATCAATCATCAGTACTCAAAAGTAAAAACCTATTCGAGTATTAGATAGACAACCAATTTGACGATGATCTAAATAATAATATGGTAATAACTAGAATATTTGTCTAGATCATATATAAAAGAGAAATATTCAGACACGTTGACTTTTTTTTTTGTATATTTTGTCATTTATAAATGATTGACGATAATATTCTATAACTTTTAAAAGAATAAGAACTTTTCTTTTTAAGTTTGTATAATGATGATCAAAATTAAAGAATAAGGATAAAAGATGAAACCAATCTAAATATGGAAATCAATCTTCAAAGATGGGTCAATAAGTTGATTGAAAAGGAAAATGATGTATTCTCCAAATATAATTCAATCAAACGAGTCAGAATTTTTTTTTTTATGTTTATATCTAATAAGCCCTTGAACTTTAAAAAATAAAAATAAATCGATGTATACAAATACAAAAGTTCATAAACCAAACTTTTCATACTACCTCAAATCATCATATGTATAACAAAAACATTTAAAAATAGTGTAAAGCACATAAACTAAAACAATATACTACACGACAATGTATGAAAAGAGAATATTGTTACGAATAACGATCCTCTATAATGGTATGATATTGTCCACTTTGAGCATAAAATCTCATGGCTTCGCTTTGGACTTTCCCCCAAAAGGCCGAATACCAATAGAGATGTATTTCTTACTTATAAACCTATTATCATTCCCTAAATTAGCCAATGTGAGACACCCTCTGTGATGTCCCACATTGGTTAGGGAGGAGAACAAAACACCCTCTATAAGGGTGTGGAAACCTTCCCCTAGCGCGTTTTAAAGCCTTGAGGGGAAGCCTGAAAGGGAAAGCCTAAAGAAGAAAATATCTCCTAGCGGTGGATCTGGATCGTTACACCCTCCCAACAATCATCAATATATATTATTATAGGGCTAGAAACTTTCTCGAAAAAGTAAATGCAACCAATCAAGTGGATGGAAGAGGAGCACTTTGGAAGATCTTTGAGTGGAATATTGAGAAATTTTGTTGAGTCCAATAATAATGGGGCTGAAAAAGGGAATGAAATGGGACCATGGAAATGTTGAGTTTGTAGACTATGGGAGATTGTGCTTGTGTAAAGTTGGTCATGAGAATGAAAATGAAAGGGAAAAAGGGAAAGAAAAAGGCAGAAAGAGTCTTCATTCTTGTTTTGTTTGTCAGAGAGTATCTTTTTGGTTGGTAAGTGAAAATGAAGTGTCGGTGAATACGTGATTTGACAATAACCCTACATCTCCCCAACCCTCATCAATCATCCATACTATAGTGCTAAAACTTATTTTTCAATCGCCTACGTACACTCTCGACTAGGTGTGAACATACGACTACCTACGAAGCTTGGTCTTAACTGATAGAAGTCACCGACAGAAATACAGATATGTTAAATTAGAGATACAAATCTGTCGAGTAATAATGAAGAACAGTAAATCTCATATGCATATACACAACCATATCATAACTTTGCTTGACATTATATCGATCTAAGAATTGATATGAATATCAAAACGAGATTCTATGTGAGTTCTTTATGGCAAGTAAGACTCACTCTTAGCCATCTACTCACCAAGATCTAGGATCAAATTATCACACATGTTGCTCTTTTAGATACAAGAGGAACCTTTTGTTTCATTAAAATAAAACTTCAATAAGAAATAATTCATTTACAATAATTCAATTAACTATTTAGAATGTTTTATCAAACAATAAACAAAATGTTCTTCAAATTATAGGAACCAAAATTTTAATTTAACCGTAGTGGGTAAATAAAACTTGGGATACAACCACTGCCCATATGATCATCATTCATGGTCTGTTCTTTAAAAAATAAATAAATAAAATAAATAAAAATTTATTCACTCCCATATATGAGGTTATATAAATTTTCATACTAAACTTTTAATTCATTTAATTCATTGAGCTAGACACTAAACTTCGTTAAATATTGCAGTTTCTATCTTGTATTCACTTTCACCAATTGTCAAGACTTATAATTTTAACAAAAATTTAACTATGAAGCTATTTTTCTTTTAAATCTTATAAATTTCATACCATGCATAATTTTTACTATCATGACAACTTTTTAAACTAAATTTTCACACAACAAAATTTATCAAGGGGCAATAGTTACAAGCACTTATTCAAGTTTAACCTCAAGTTTAAGGTTAAGATTAAGACAACTATCCAAAGTTAGGGTGTACCTTGGTTACAATTTCACAAATTTTGGGGCTAAAAATCAATTTTTTTTTCTCCTTTTTCAACTAAGTGGAAAGTTGGGCCAAGGAGTGCCTGTCAAATATGACCGATATTTGGGCAAAGCCCTAGGCTAGTAAATTGGATCTTACTTCTAAGAAATAAGATCCCATTTCAATATATTATTTTTCCTCACTTTCATTTTTATTATTTGTAATGCTAATTTAAAAATGACACCCAAAGTACCAAAGGGAAGAGAGGGCAAAACGAAAGAGATTTTAAGATGACAAAAATACAAAATAGAAAGGTTAAAGTTGTTTTCAAATTGTTCATAGAGACAACTCATAGTTTTGAAACAATTCAAGTCACGTGTAATGAGGAGTCCAAATTGTAGGCTGCTTGAGACATTACATTAATAAGTCTCACAACTTTTTTTTAATTTTTTTTTTTTTTTTTTAATCTTTTACGTCTCTAGTATTATTATGATGGATCCCACATGTAATTAAAATTGATTTATTTTTATTCCCCTTTTGGAAATAACCCAACAACATTATTTTCCCCCTTTGCTCAAATATGGAATTGCTTTAGTATATTAGGTGGTGTCTGATTAATTTGGGCATGCTTGATAAAGCTGGTCTTTTGAGTTTTCTATGTTAAAAGCTATTACTCTTGTTTCGAAAGGCGTAGTTTTTTGTTTTTGCTTTTGATCCAAATACGGCTGAGGTGCTTTTGACTCGAGTACTCCTTAGAGACAGTTTTTTGTTTTTGCTTTTGATCCAAATACGGCTGAGGTGCTTTTGACTCGAGTACTCCTTAGAGACACTTTCTCAAGTCGTAGAACTAAATAAACCAACATTTGTTGCTAAACCATCACTAGCTACTTTTTTCCAAACACAGTGGAAGGCTGAAGGATGATTTCCATAGACCATCCATGGAAAAGAGAGAGAAGTGGATTGTGGTGTTTTGAAGTTATGAAATGACCCAAAATGATGAAGTATAACAAAAGCTGATGAATGGAAGGTCACAGCAGGGAGGGAAAGAGTAACTCCCATAGTAATTATATATATGTATATATATAGAGAGAGAGAGAGAGAGAGAGAGTATTCGGGTCAAGTTGTGCATCTCTCGACTATCCTTATAGGATAAGGATTTGACAAGATTATAAAAAAAAAAAAAAAAACTCGTAGGATACTAAATCTTAGGCAAGTAGCCAGCGTGACTTCATCTCATTTCCTTTAAACTCTCTACTATTTAGATTGGTCTTTATTTCATTAGACCAACTTGGCGTGCTATCTCATTTGACCAAGGTTAAATTTTATTCACAACGGAATACAAGATACCTATAAAGTCAGAATACTTATCAAAAGTTCTACTTTAACCAGAATGATAATGTTTCAGTCTGTGATGGTATTTCCAGGCCTCCACATGGGCAAGTTGAAAAGAAAAATGAATGGAAGTTAATGACTATCCACAAAAAGTCAAATTGGGGGTAAGAAGAATGAGATAGGAATATCCCTAAATAGCCTTGACGGGTCCAAGAAGAATGATCTAGTTTGGTAATATATTTGTAATCACTCAAACTTCTGCAGAAAGAAAGTGAGGATTGGCAAATTCAAAGATAGAAATTCAGGAACTTCCAACTTTGCTCATACTATTCCATGGTAGCCTGCTGATACTATTCCAGAATTACTTTTAAGATTTTCACGTGGTCGGTGGGAAGGTTTGATTAGGTGAGTAATGTGGTGGTGGGACAAGGAAACTTGAGGAGAAACAAGACATGTAGTCTAACAGAATTCATTCTCCTTCCCTGTGTATGCTTCATTTTCTCAGAATTTTATGTCTATGCCATGGAATAATATTTGCATGACATTTAAGAATAAAATTAAGAAAGAAGCTGGTACCTTTATGTGAATAGCGTCACTTGCCGCTTGTTCCTGGAAACTTCAGAAATTTGGAGCCATAAAAGAGTATACTAGCCAATCAACCAACTCGTAAATGGAGCCCAAATTCGCTGTAGGTGGCGTCTTAAGCTCTACAGCTTTCGAATCATCTACATAAAATGCAGGGAGCAGTTGGTGAATCTGCTTGAGAAATGCAACAATAAAAAATTCTAGCACAATTACCATGTCATACGCTCATATTTGGCCTTGAGTGCAATCATTGCAGACTATGGAATCCAGGGACAAGGAAGCGAAGCTTTGAAACTGCATGACAAAATGACAGAGAAATCAGAAGTTATACCCAATGAATTAACATTTCTTTCATTGTTTTCTGCTTGTAGCCATGCCGGTTTGATTGAAGAAGGGATCAAGATGTTGCCTGAATACAGAATAAGAACCCAACAGCGAGCATTATGGCATTGTTATCGATCTTCTTGGTCAAATAGGAGAGGTTACAGCAAAGAGTCTCTTCGAGTTAGATCCTACTGGGTACTAGATACTGCTATCTAACATTTATGCTGTGGAGAAGAATTGGAACAATGTAGCAAAACTAAGGAAAAGGGTTTGAAGAAGATGCTTAGGCAAAGTGCGATTAAAGCAGGAAGTGAGGTGAATAGTTCTGTAGCTGATTATACACTACATCCAGAATCTGACCAAATTTATAGGTTGCTAGGAAATTTGAATATTGATATGAGAACCGAAGATTATAGCTCTAATTCAAGATCTTATTTACAAGGCATTGAGTAAATTCTATAGTTAACATTCGATTTTGGGTCTCATACAAGTCAAGTAAACCATTCAAATTGAGTGGTCAACACCTTTAGCCAGTGATTTGATTATGAACCATTTACCAAAAAATAATCCGTCAGTTCACGCAGGATTTCTGCTTTGTGCTTAGATAATGTAAAAACCACAACTAACAATCAGTGGTGGAGCAGAAAAAGAATTCAATTTATTTGCTATTTTTTTATAATTCATAATCTCCTCCTGGTAAAAGGAAAATCTAACCAATATTTCTCTACGGTCACATCGTTTTTTTTACTCCCAAGTGTCGATATGCATGCCTACAGAATATCAGGGCACAGATTAGGCAGGCACATGGAAATATAAACATAATCTAAGAATATATTTTAGCTCAATCGAGTAGAATTTGTAAGCCATAGCAACTGTTGCCAGAGCTCATACAAGTACAGGAGCAGCAAGAAATAACAATACCACTCTGTTCCGAAGTTCTGATTCAGCAGGAGGGTGCGCCCTGCCCACTTGCTTGCGGCTACTTTTCTAATCGTTGCCCTGGATGTCCTTCTCCCAAGGTTTGTTCTTAGTTTCCTTGGAGACTTCAGCACTAGGAAGTTTGTCTTCATCTACTTCTTTACCTTCCTCATCATTGATTCTCCCCATTCGACCCCTGCAATTTTCAATCTCAATCACATAGTTCTCTATTTACAGGTTAATTAAAAGAGAGAGACTCTACTATCATAAAACTAGACACTTTTACATCTTTCATATTACTGGATTTTAAGCCTCTATATCGACCCTTAAGCTTAAACTACCAAGCGATCCCAAAAATGTTAGATCTCAACGAAGCTTCTTTTTTAGTCTAATAAGTTGCGTTGATCTTTCTATGTTTAAGACTTTCAATTCTTAGATCGTCAATTACATGATTAGAGACCCAATCTGAGAATTAAGGGATTAAAGTTCAGACTTGCTAATGAAGGATTAACCAGACTAAATTCATAGTGTCAAAACATTTATGAATGTTTATGCAGTAGTTCTGAATTTTTCTTTCTGGACTACTTTTCCGTAGGTTCAGGCTGACACATGCATGTAGCGAACATTGCTGAGTAAAAAGGTTTTAGTAATGCACGAAAAAAATTTGCAAAAACGAATGCTTGTAAAACAGGAACTAAACAGAGGCAAACAAATAGAAAAGCTAGGTTAAATTGGACTCCTCGACCTTTCCATAAAAGATTTAGTTGGTTGCTTTCTTTTAATCATTCCTCTTTTAAAAAAATTGATCAAAGATATCTAGGTTAAATAGATTTAGCACACAGTAGATACTTTACTGATTTGCACCTTACCCGTATTTTGCTAAGGATCAAATAATCATTACAATATGAAATCAAACCAAAAGAAAAAGGATATTGATGAAGATTATAAACTGCATGGTCCAACTGATACTGGAGAGGTAAGTAGATAAAGAAAAACAGGTGCAGAATACTAATATGAAGATAAACTGCTAACAGCAGCTACTAATATACAATAGTTTGTTGAGGATTATTGGGAGTGAGTCCCACATTGGTTAATTTAGTGGAAGATCATGGGTTTATAAGTAAGGAATACTATCTCCATTGGCATGAGGCCTTTGAAACCCAAAGCAAAGCCATGAGAGCTTATGCTCAAAGTAGACAATATCATACCATTGTGGAGAGTCGTGATTCCTAACATAGTTGTGTGTGTCAATGGGGCTAAAAATGAGCCAGAAAAACGCAAACCTCCAAAGCCTTTCTATTAACTCTCCTTTTCCAATATGTTTATCCAGCAATTCAGGCACATCATCAGGAGTAACATAGCCATACCTAAATTTAAAATTAATGTATATAATTAACCAATTAAGCAATAGAAAATATCTCAAAAAGTTTGTGAAATAATTCCTCATTTGAAACTTGTCTTACCAATGGCCCATGATTCTCCCATCTAGATCTGGACTAAAAACAATCACGTTTCCAGCATACTTGTGTCCACCAATATGTGAACACGCATGTACACAAATCTGATCCTTTAGTCCTCTTAGTTCAATCTCCTCTATAAGTTTTGTAATGAGAGCTGTTCCACATACCCCACATCTCTTATCTCGACTACGATGTGCACATACAAAAATATAAGAGCCAGCCAAAGCATCATGTGCCCCATAAACCTGCTGTTTACCATCCATAAGCACCTTCTCAACAAAGCTCTCCACATCTTCGTCTTTCAGACCCCTGCGTCATGAGTGAGTGTGAGGAGGAGATGGGACATTGTTCATCTTTTAACAGAAAAAGGAACATTGCACAAATAGAATACAAACTTACAGCCAAATTAACTCTAAGAAGTAAAAGTGATAATATGTAGGACAGAACAAAAGAATCCATGATCATAAGTTACGATAATAGCTCAAGAAGTACACATGAAGAAAAAGTAATATAAGAACAACATTAATAACCTTCAGAGTGTTGAATGATGAAAGTCCCACATTTGCTAATTTAGGGAATGATTATGGGTTTATAAACAAAGAATACTCTCTCCATTGGTACGAGGCCTTTTGGGAAAGCCCAAAGCAAAGCTAGGAGAGCTTATGCTCAAAATGGACAATATCATACCATTGTGGAGAGTTGTGTTCATCTAACATGGTATCAGAGCATCATTCTTAACATGGTATCAGAGTCATGCCCTAAACTTAGTCGTGCCAACAGATTGGTAAATCCTCAAATGTCGAACAAAGGACTCCAAAAAGAAAAAGGAGTCAAGCCTCCTCGAAGCTACGAAGGCAGTCAAAAATGACTAAGACTCCGTGCTTTGTTCGAGGGCCAAAAAGAAAAAGGAGTCAAGCCTCCTCGAAGGTACGAAGGCAGTCAAATATGACTAAGACTCGGGGCTTTGTTCGAGGGAAGGTGTTGGATGATGAAAGTCCCACATCGGCTATAATTTAGGGAATGATCATGGGTTTATAAACAAAGAATACTCCCTCCATTGGTATGAGGCCTTTTGGAGAAGCCCAAAGCAAAGCCATGAGAGCTTATGCTCAAAGTGGACAATATCATACCATTGTGGAGAGTCGTGTTCGTCTAACATGGTATCAGAGCATCATTCTTAACACAGAGGCCCTAAAGATTAGCCAGATAATTGGAATTGTATTATAATCTACCATGATTACAGCTCAATTACCTTTTGGAATACAGATTTTAGTTTACATGAACTGCAACAAGTTTAATGCAAATTTCTTTTAGTTTATGAGAAAATAGCCCCAGTCTATAATGAAAACTAAACCAAATCTCCCACCTGTATTTGATCATTTCCGGAAAAACCAATACATCTCCATCTGAATGCTCAGTTCCCTCCCCTGCCTCGCATATCGTCAGCTTCGTCTAGCAAGCCAAAACAAGAAAGAGAAATATAAAATATGATGGCAGAGTACTCAAATTCCATGAACTATAAACAGAATTTTAAATGACAATAATAACAAAACCATCTCATCAACAAAATACACCGTCGTTCTAATTCAATCATAAAAATAAAAATAAAAATAAAAAAAGTGTTGCTAACCTTAACAGAAATTTCGTTTTCACGAGTTTTTATGGCCGAGGAAAGGAGTTTAGGTAGCAGATCAGCGTCCGAGCCATCAACACGGGACGGCCAAACCTCATGACTTCGATAGCAGAGGAACACGTGGCGCTCGTAAGCACCAACGGTTCCGGAAAGGCTTCTCCCATACATCTCCGGCCGACGGAAGCCATACTTCTCGTCTTCGGCAGTTGAAAATGTGGAGACACGGTGAGATTCCGGGGAGTGGAGTAAGATCGGCGACGAGGTTAGGTACGAAGAGGATAGCTTCGGAGAACGGAAGAAAAAGAGAGATTCACACAGATTTTCGCCGACAGATGAAAGGGAACGATTGGGACGCAATAATCGCATATCTCCACTTATTAGGTGGCGCCGCCGTGTCGCCGGGAAGAAAATGGAAAATAAATGCGCGCCTCCGCGGGAGGTGAAATGAAACAAAGAAAATAATATGCGCGGTTGTTTTTATCATGCGATTCCACATTACGAAGTGGACTTTGCCACAGGAGACCATCTAATTATGATGTCAAAATTTTATTTTTTTTAATTTAAATAATATATATATATATAAGTATTTGTGTGTATTATTTATTTATTTAAATTAATAAATGAACATTTCATCTATTTGAATTAATTAAAAATGGTTTTATTAATATTTAAAATTAAAACAAAAAAAACAACAAAACAAACATTCCATCAAGTTAATTTTTTTTTTAAACATTCTGATCGATTTTTACTTAAATGTAATTTTGAGTTTAAAATAATTTTATAATTTCTTAAATAATAAAAGTATTTCTTAAAAACAAGGTATCGTTCCTTCTAGAACAACGTTCTCTTTCGGACCTTTGACCCAATCGATTCAACGAAAAATTAAAAAAAAATTAAACCTACTAACACTTTTAGATCCAGAATTAATGAGAATTCTCCTTATAATTTAGCCTCTGGAAAATTAAATCAAAGTGAAGTCGTACCAGCCCAAGCCCACCATTAGCAAATATTGTCCGCTTTAGCCCGTAACGAATCACCGTCAGTCTCATAATTTTAAAACGTGTCTATTAGGTAGAGATGTCCACACGCTTATAAGAAATGATTAATTCCTCTCCAATCGATATGGGATCTCACAGTCTACTCCTCTTGGAGGCCCAACGTCTTTGTTGACACACCACTCAATGTCTAGCTCTATACCATTTCTAACAGTCCAAGCTCATCACTAGTAAATAGTCCACTTTGGTCCGTTATACATCACTAGCAATCTCACAATTTTAAAATACGTCTATTCGAGAGAGGTTCTCACACCCTTATAAATAATGTTTTGTTCCACCCTACAACCCACGAACACGAACAGAATTATGTCAGTTTAGGAAATCCAACAATTCCATTCCCCAATTTTGATGAATCTTGTGCACATTTTCTCAGACAGGTTTATTATGCAGCAGCAGACACAGCACAGTACACAGTTACTAGGCGAGTTAAAAATAATGAAACCATAGCAGGACACTTCTGTAATCCCCATTGCAATGGGAAAACGAAGCATTGAGGGAGAAGGGAGATTGGTTGAAAGACCCGAAAAAGAAAAAACGACAATAAGATTCAAAAGAAGTCGATCTCTAAATAATTACCTGAAGGCTTCACATCGACTCCCGACGTTTTTTCGCCTGCTGGTGCGTGTGGTGTCTCCATTCTTGAAGAGAAATCAATGGCATCTACTCTTGGCACTTCTGGAGGATTGGCACAGCGGATGAGTGCCCAATTCACGCTCTGGAAGAACGGATGTTGTTTGATCTCGGTAGCACCACGCCTATAAGCGAGACGGTGCTGTGGTTCTTTTACGAGCAAGCCTCTGATCAAGTCCCTTGCTGCAAAGCTCACAGAAGGAGACTCTGGAAATCTCAATGGCTGACCAACCACATTAAACAAAGTAGCTCGGTTCCCAGCTCCCTTGAATGGCGTTCTACCGAACAAAAGCTCGTAGAGAAAGATCCCGAAAGTCCACCAATCCACAGCACTGCCATGACCCTCACCTTTTATGATTTCAGGTGCGAGGTACTCATGTGTACCGACAAAGGACATCGATCTCGCACTTGTGGGCTCAGCAATGAGCTCTGGTAGAGGGCTCACTTGATGATATACTTCACTCTTTGGTTTCGACTTTTTTTCTTTCCTGTGCCTGCTTAAGAAGCGAGGCGTAAAACATGCTGGCTGGATACAATCTGGCTGCATTATGCAAGTCGGCTCAATGCAAGCAGGCTGAGCACAGTAGCCCAAGCTTTTAGATTCTAAACCCGTGTTTGATGACTTAACAAGGGTCGGGGAAACCGCGCATCTAAGAGACAGGTCAAAATCAGATAGCATTATGTGCCCATCATCTCTAACCAACACATTTTCAGGTTTTAGGTCCCTATAGATTATCCCAAGCATGTGCAGATACTCCAATGCAAGAAGAACTTCAGCCACATAGAATCTGAAAAAGTACAGAAAATATCAAGGGAAAAGTTCAAGAATATTGTGGCTTGAATGAGAGATGCTTGGCTCAAAAGCATATAGATAATCAACCATAAACGTTAACATCTAAACGTTCTACCGTGGTAGCCGAGTTAGGAGGACGATGAGAGCAGAAGGAAATACATCGATGTGAGTTTACGTTAATGGAGTTCAAATCTATATCAGAAAGAAGCTAGAAGCCCTATTCGTACGTAAAAGTCGAGCATATATGTCCGTTGGTCCTATCAAGATATTCATGTTTTAGTCGAGCATATAAAACGGCGATTCATACTTGATTCATTAAAGGAGCAGTATGCTCTGGGAAAAGCAAGATAGAGCTAAAGAAAAGGACAGCAATTTCAGACCTTGCAGCATGCTCCGGGAAGAATTTTCCGGGTTGCCTCTGCCTAAGCGCGTGCAAGTCGCCTCCTGGGCAAAACTCCATTACCAAGCAAGAGAACTTCTCTGTCTCGAAGTGTGTATACAAAGTAGGAAGGAAAGGATGATCCAGAGATTGCAATATCTCGCGCTCGGTCTGAGCCCTCAGAAGCTTCTTCCTACTTGCCAAAGCAGCTTTATCCATAACCTTCATTGCAAAATAAGTTTTGGTACCGGTTAACTCCGAAAGATAGACACTACCGATATCGCCACATCCCAGTCTCCGCAGCAACCTGAAATGATTCAGTCCTAACATCCCATCATGAGACCTCACAACTTGCATTGCTTCCCATCTTGTATCATTTGCCTTATGGGGCTTATACATGACATTGCTTAAACTACTCGAGTTGCTCTCATCACTGATATCACTGCCGGTGCTGCCTCGGTAAACACTTGTTTTCCTGCTTTTGTCGAGATCGTAGGAACTTGTGATGTCAATGCTTTCACAAGACTTTTTAATACTGCTTGCACATTCACTGACTTCTGTGTTTGAGAAACTTTGTTTGGCCTCGGCATATAACGTCGTGGAATATAAGCTGTTCTGAGGACTTGGACAAGAAATTTCATCTGGCTGAGACTTTTGTTGATCATTTGTTTTTGTGGAATCTCCTTTCGATGCGTTTAATACTCGATTTCCAGATTGTTCCAAACCACTTGAACAACAATCCTTAGAATCTTCAATACCATGCTTCACAAGAGGTTTTGCTCCACCTCCCTCCAAAGGAACCTTCTTCTGAAAAGAAGTTTCAGTTGATTTATACGAAACATCCGTCGGGTTTACAAGCTCAGATTTCCCCTTATTGGAAACATGTGTATGTTTTTTCACATCCGTTGAACCTTCAAGCTGCGAATCGGGTTGTTTTTTAATACTTACAGAAGAACCATTTGGATGACGAACAGGTTTCTTGGCACAATTCTGAGATGTAACGTAGGATGTCGAAGAACTGGCTTCATCCCTTGATTGTTTAGCAGAAAGGTGGCACGACGAATCGAGAATCCTCACTGTAGATGTCGGGTTCTGAGTTTTAAGTAAAGAACTCATACCATCAACGAGTGACTCCATCAGCAGCTCGGCTCAAGCACTCCCAGGCTAGATCTTAGGGTGTGGTGAATGGGATGCAGCAATTGATCGCAACCATTGTGGTAATTTCTAAAGCCATTGATTACAAAATCTTCAACTTATTAATGTCGTTCTTGCAAACGCCAAATGAATATCTATCTGTCCTGGAAGTTGCAAAGGTCAAATTGATTCAGATACACTTTGAGAAAGATTGAAGATACCATAACCAGAAATCCAAGCAATAAAGGAAAATCCCCAAGATTATGAACAGATTCACAATCAAAGCAAAATCAAAACCTACAAAGTCCAAAGAAAAAAGAAAATCAGGTAAGGTAAATTCTAAATATCTTCGAAATCACACCACAATAACAGATTATTCAATCCGCCGTCCAACAATTTCTACGTTTTCTTCTTCAGAAACTCAAAAACCTCATCTAATTTGCTCCAAAAATCAAAACAAACTCAACTCCAACACTGAACTCGTTTCAAAAGATTTACAAGATGAAAACCAAAATTTCCACTGGTTTCGGCAACTGATTTTGATTCTTCGGAAGTGAAAACCAAAATCAACCACAAAACTCAACAATACAACCCCCAATCTTTAACAATAGAAATAAAAAACAAAAAAACACACAACAAGAGATCCCTAAACATCAACTACACAATGCAGCGGCAAGAAAATCTTTCAAAGCAGGGAGTAAAAAGAAGGCGAGAGAGAGACTCACCTAAAAACGCAACCAAATAGAGGAAAAGCGAAGCAACTTTGCGAGTTCCTTGCTCTTTTTTCCGAGTTTCTGAAGCACTTTCAGATCCGATCCAACACAAGAAAGAAACAGTTCGGATTAGAGGAAGAATATAATAATTGCAAACAGAATAACCTGCAACTTTTGGGTGTGTTCTTGCTGCTGCTTTGAATCTTCCCGTCGATTGAAGAACAAGAAGAAGAGGAGATGAAAGATTCAAAGGAACAGAAAAAAAAAGAAAAAAAAATGAAGCAAAGTTGAGAAGCAAAAGTTACAAATGGCAGTCTTTATCTCTGTGATGTTCCCTCCATGAATATCTCTTCCTCTTGTTCTTAAGCTCTTGTTTTTGTTTAATAATTTTTTTTCAACCGATTCAAATTGTTACGGGCACTCCTGAATTTTTTGTTATGGCCACCTCTTTCCACTTTTTAATTTAAAAAATATTAAATTAATTAAAAAAAACACTAAAATGTTAAATGTTTGAATTTTCTGGCACGGCACGTTTTCTAACGGTTAAGTATTAACTGAACCACTCTCTTGTCGTTCTCGTCACTACACCAGCCTGACTGGACCCTACTCTAAAAACTGTAGATTCAGGCTCGACCTATTGTCGAGTCGAGTGAGTTTAAAGTACGATTTAGACATGGGTCGAGTTAGCTCGACTATTTAATAGTCGAGCCCATCACCCAATTGTTAAGTTTGACTCATGGGTCGAGTTAGTTTCACTCGTCAAACATGTTTTAAGTTAGTGACGAGTTTATTAGGCTCGGCCAATAGTCGAGCCGAGTGAGTTTAAAGTATGATTTAGACATGTGTCGAGTTAGCTCGACATTTAATAGTCGAGCCCATCACCCAACCGTTAAGTTTGACTCATGGGTCGAATTAGTTTCACTCGTCAAATATGTTTCAAGTTAGTGATGAGTCTATTAGGCTAGCTCAATAAGTCGTTCAAACAAGCTAGCTCACTCTTCAAATGCGACCCATATCAAATCAAACGAATGAACGGTATGGGTCGAGTCAAATCGGTCAAACTTTGACTTTGGGGGTCGAGTCGTGCTAGACTTGAGCAGACATTTTGACCGCAAGTCGGTTATCGAAACTAACTAACCTGTATTGAAGGGTTATTAAAGGTAGATACGTTTTGAACCTATGTTCGATAGTCCTCGATAGGTAACAACAACCACGCACGGACTAAGTCTAGCTTTTAAAGTATAACCTTTAGTTGGTATTACTCTTTATTTCGCTCCTAATTTTTGCCCCACTTAATAACCTCATTATTTAATCTGCTCGATTTCGAGTAAAAATTGTTTAATCTGGACAGATGAACAAATATTTTAACGGTTCAGGTATGCTCGTGTTGACAATATTGGCACGTTAAAATAAATATTTCAAAGTCTCGAGTTGTTTATTTATCGAATAATTACTCGTTGAATAATTATAATAATTAAAATGACAACTCGAACATAATTCAAACTTAACTTGTTGTATACTCAACTTAAAAGACCGAATTTAAATTTTTCCACCCTCTGCAAAATAAATACAATAATGAACAAAAATAATTGAAATAAATATTTTAATAATTTTTATTTTAAAAAGAATTATAATTGTTTAATATTTAATTATAGCTATCCATTTACTCCACGAGGTCGGGATTACAGGTACCTATTCTAAATAGAATGGGAATCCCCGTTTAAACAGGGAATGAGGGAGGAAGTAGAGAGAGATTTTTATCCGCTAATTGAACGGGGACGGAAATAAAGATTATATTCCTTATCCTCGACCTTCGATTCTAATAAATCAACGTCCCGTCTCGCTCAAATAACTTTTTAATAAAAATTATATTAAAAATAAAAATTATCCATTTCTTTATATATATATATATATTATTATATTATATTATGTTTGTACACCTGTCAACACGACCCTTTTTAGATCCACTTAATTAAATATTTCACCTAATTTAACAAACAAAAAAGGGAAAAAAACACTGAGATTCCACCTAATTAACAGATTATAATTATTAATTAATTACTTTTTTTTATATAATAATTTTTTATTATTATAGTATTAACCAAAAATTAATAAATAAAAAAAATGTTTTTAAAATTAATACACCTTTTTACGAAAAATAAAAAATAATAAAACAAAAGCTTTAAAAATGTGGTTATAAAGGGACATTTGTTTGGTAGTAATAATAGATTTTCATTTAATAATATTTTAATTTCCAAATTTTTCTTAAAAAGAAAAATAGAAGACACGTGTCACGAGAGGCCGAGATAAAAGGTATTTAATCATTTAATTATTTTCTTATTAGTTTAGGAATAAAATGTTTTGAGAATAAAATATTTTAAAAATTAAAGATATTATTGCATTCTCGTGTAAAAATTCAATAAAATTAATATCGATGAACTTTACATTAAAATAAATTATGCAAAATAGTGAAAATTTATTAAAAAATATTGGGTATATAGATTCTCGAGCATGGTGTTGAATAAATGTTAGGGTCAATTCAACCGTATTTTAGTGGATAAGATATGAACTATCGTTAGGATCAGGGTCAATCTGATCATAGCTTAGTGGATGATAATATGTGAACTACTGTTAGGATTGGGATCAGTCCGATCGTAGCTTAGTGGATAAGATATGAACCATCGTCAGGGTTAGGATCAACCGAACATAGCTTAGTGGGTAAGATGTGAACTACCATTAGGGTTAGGATCCATCAACCATAGTTTAGTGGACAAGATATGAACTACAGTTAAGATTAGAATCAGTTCGATTGTAGCATAGTTAATAAGATATGAACTATCGTTAGGATTAGTATCAGTCTGTTCATAGTTTAGTGGATAAGATATGAACTACCGTTAGGATTAGTATCAGTTTGATCATAGTTTAGTGGATAAGATATGAACTACCGTTGGGATAAATATCAGTCTGATCGTAGTTTAGTGGATAAGATATGAACTATCGTTAGAGTTAAAATCAATGTGATCGTAGCTAAATAAGATAAAAAAAAAAATTGGGTTACTCTCAGACAAAAAAAAAGGTTAAAAAAAAAATCACAATTATCATAGAAATCAAAATTAATATTAATTTAGAAATATAAATTAATTTTTTTATAAAAATATAGATTTAATGCATTTTTATTGTTAGGAGAAAATAATAAATGTAATACATTACAATATATATATATATATATATATATATATATATATATATATATATATATATATGAATTAACAAAAACAAATAATTTAATGAATTATTTAATTGCATAAATTTTTTACAACTATTATTGTTGCTTGTTCTTGAATATTTAGCATTATGGTTTCAACTATGCAAAGTAATTTAATTTCTATTAATATAATTTGTTACGACTATTATTGTTGCTTGCTTATTCTCTCATGACTCGAGACTCGAGGATACATCAACGTTGTCCGCTAGTTTGAATTTCTCATGGTTGACTTGTTTGCTGGGTTAGAACAAGTGTCGCACAGTCGTTGTCCCCCCACTGCAAGAGTACGATTGTAACCATCTACCCGGGTTATATGTTATCAAAGTCGTTGTTGCCTACTCATTTTTAGCTTATAACGTTGATTTCTTTCTTGTTTTCAACGTATTTTCTCGCTCACATTTTCTAAAATATTTTTTTAAAACGTGACCGAAGCTCAAGCATACGCCGACATTGTCTGTTTCTCGCAGATGACGTGTTCTCTAAGTTAGAATAAGTGTCGTACAATCGATGTCCCGTTGCTGCAAGAGTGCGATTGTGACAAGAATGTGTGTGTATATATATATATATATATTAATAATTTTCCAATTGTATTTAGATTAAAAATAAAATAAAACTCACAAATTAATATTAATGTTAATGTTAATCACATGGTGATGTGGAATAGAAAGTAATTAAAATTAATAATAATCATTAAGTTCTTGGCGGGAAACCACATGCTCGCACGTGAACAGAACGACCAAGCACGTGGTCGGCTGTAATCCCGTACGGCGCGTTTCATTCTAACAAATCCGCTTAATAAATATATTATTTACTTATATTTGTTTTTCCTAATAAATACTTTACCCTTATAACTTTTAATATTAACAAATCTTTGAAAGGGCCCACATCCCAAGGGCAAACTCGTCTTTTCATATTGGAGGGAAAATTTTAGTTATTTACTTATATTTTATTTTAACATTTAGAGGTCAGACTTTCAAATCTTCATTTTACATTTATTCTACTAAAAAGATTATTCCGACCTAATAATTGGGATAAAAAAACACTGTTGCTAATGAGATACAACTAAAGCAATCGAGAGCCGAGAGGTGCACCTAAAGCAACAATATATTCTAAGGATGTTGCTAACACTGAAACTCCGAACCGACAATCATATAGCCCTCGAGCTGATAATGGAGTTGGAATGGGTCGGGATAAACTTCCAGGTCTTTTATTGTGTGTATGATGTCCATGCCACGAAACCTTTCTTCTAGTAATCGATCTCTTAATTTGACATATTACACTCACGACTATGGTCTTATCTCGAGCCCACCTTCGAAAACCTACAATTCTTCTTTACACATGTTCTCGAGTAGGTGACTTTGAAAGTCGAACTCAACATTTCCATAACGATCAGGTAGCTCAACATCTCAATTGCTTATCTCGAGATTCAGAAGAAAGGTGACAAAGAATCGATCATTCAAGGTAAGTATCATCATCCATCAATTTGAGCTTATTTTCCAATAAAAGTTTAACCAAATATTTTTAAAAAAAAAAAAAAAAAAAAAAAAAAAGAAGGTCCAACGTGTCAGGGGTAAAATGGTCTATTCACAGGAGGCGCCCCCATAGCAATAATGTTTTGTTGATAAAGCCGCCCTAAGAGGAAGGAAGTGGGGCCCAGAGTGTCACGCTGGCAGTGTAAAAGCACGAAGGTCATAGGTGGTTGCGGAGTCCTTATGATGGCTGTATTTTTATTTTTTATTTATTTATTTTATTTTATTAATATTTTTTTAATTTTAAAAAATTAAAATTAAGTTCATAGTATCTATTAATTTGTGAGTTGGAATTTATGTCGGTCGAAATTTTGAAATTGTTTTATTTTTTTTTTATTTAAATGAGTTTTAAAATAATTTTTTAGAATGTAATTTTTAAATATTATAATAAATTCCTTGGAAATATATTAAATTAGTTGGATAATGCTTTTGTTTTTATTTCTTCTTTCTTTTTATAAAAATAATATATTTTCTTTCCTAAATAATTTTTCGTCAAAAAAAAAAAATTATTATACTCTTAAAAAAGTTTTCCTTCGTCTTAAAAATAAAATTTAACGAATATATAGTAAAAAATTAAAGATCGAATAGAAACAAAATGAAAAGAAAAAAAGAAAAATAAATAAGTTCAGGTTCGAGAGATTCCAACAATGATAATTGTTTCTAGTAGATGGGTCGCTTTTCGCTACTTGAACACTATGCAGAGCAATTCGCACGTGTTTCAACTCTTAAAATTTCGATAATACCCTTACCTCGTTTTTATTGGTGTAGCTCCCAATAATTTATCGGTCGAGCACAAAAAAAAAAAATAATAATAATAATAATAATATATTTAATGGAATTGATAATAAATTGAAAGAAAAGGGTATGGATGGAGACCATACAAAGACATGCTTTCCTGTAAAATGGAAGATCGTAACGTGGGGCCCACTAAATGCCTCAACTTTGACTATATAAAAAATAATTTATGTTTTATTCGTTTTTTTTTTCATTTTAATCCTTTCTATTTTATTTTATATTTCATAATTAGTTTATTATTTGTTTTTTTCCTTTTTAAAAATATTTTCTTGCAATTTTATTAAGAATGAATTTTTAAAAATATGTATTAATATAGCACAATTATTCCCTAAATTTGATAAACGAAAATAAGTTTTGACAAACTATATTTTTATTTTTTAAAATTTTACTTTAAAAAATAGATAAAATAAAATAACTTAGAAAGGTAAAATAGTGGTTAATAAACTAATAATGAGAAAGTGATATTAACCCGTTTAGTTTCTTTCTCGAAAAAAAAAAAAGTGAAGAAGTCTATGTAACATTAAACGAGCGTAAGCCCATCCCTACAAGATATTGTTTATTTTGGCCTATTTTGACCTATTATGTATTGCTGTGAGCCTCATAATTTTAAAACGCATTTACTCAAGAAAAGTTTCACACCCTTAAAGAACGGTTTTGTTCCCTTTCCACACCCTTAAAGAACTGTTTTGTTCCCTTTACACCCAACCTCGGATCTCACATCTACAAAAACTTTAGCAATGTTCAGCTAGCTCGGTATCCTACCACCAATATTAACATCATTAAATGCAAGCAACTAAATTAAATTGTCTAAATCATCAAAGACTAAAACATCTATTCAATCTGATATTGATCGACATCTTATGTCGTCGACTCTAAGGGTAGTGGTTGATCGAGAATTTTCGACCCGAAACTAAAACGTGGACCAAAGTGCCCCCAATGATTGAAACAATCATTTTTTATTTTCATTCTCTAAAGGGTGGGGATGGTGAGAGAGAAAGAGAGCATCTCAACAAATCTGAGTAAATTTAACATCAATCAAAATTGTTTTGATTTTGTCGCTTATTTTTTGTAAGAAAGTTTTAATTAGTAGATTTGAAATGACAAGGTTTGGTCGTGTTCAAATCAACTTCAATGAACCATAAATAATAATGCATTTCAATCATGGGTTTTGAACAACTTCTTATAAATTAACTTGTATTAATTTCAAAGATTAAGAAATTAATGTTGTTCAATTACAGATCATTACTTCGGGAAGCTTTTAATTCATCAAACTCACCTATTCCCGTCACCACTTACAATTAAAATCTTCGGGAGAGATCCTGCTCTCAAATAGAAAGAGAAAACATATTTTTCCGTTAGATAAATGAGACTGAGATATATCCCCTCTCCCACTTAATATATATATATATATATATTATAATTCAAGAAGCATAGATAGCGTTTAATCTTTCTAAATTTCTAAATGCTCGTCAACGTTTATCATCAAGATTACAACCGTTACTTAACTTAAACTAGATAGCCTTTGGATATATCTTTCAAGACAAAAGGAAACAAAATAATTGCCATATTCTTGTACGTAACTCGATGTTCGTATCATATGCATGCATGTATGCATACACAAACTTCGAAATATGTCTAATAATCCTGCGTGAGTCCATATATACCCGAAGTTCAATGACTCAACTAACTTTAATAACGGGTTAAGACATATATTCTACGTTTTAAAATGCCTAATAAACCTATTTGTATATCCATATACATTCGCAAAGTTCAATGAGTCAACTAACCTACAACAACTTAAGATATGTACTCGATTATTCTCGATCGAGTAGTCAGAGATTTGAATCCTGCACACTCCCTACCCACGTCTTCTAGAACTTGAAAAAAAAACTTTCAATGATTCAAAGATATCGAGATGTCTAAATCTGTCGTTCTACTTTTACTTCGACCTATTTGATCGAGTAGTCAGATATTTGAATATGGTAGGCTCCCCACCCACGTCTTCTAGAACTAAAAAAAAAAAAAATTCGAAAATATCGAGATGTCTAAATCTGTCGTTCTACTTTTACTTCGACCTATGGTTAGGATATGTATTCAACATATTCTTGATCGAGTAGTCAGAAATTTGGATCTTGTACGCTCCCCACCCACTCTCTTCTAGAACTTTAAAAAAAAAAACTTTCAATGATTCGAAGATATCGAGATATCTAAACCAGTCGTTCTACTTTTACTTCGACCTATTCTAGAAAAAGAACTCATAGCAGCAAGAAACGAGTAAAGATTCAGAATGGATAGTTCCAGAACTGACCTCTATCTGATGTGGTGTTTTTACAGGTGGATTCTGCACAAAAAACAACAAAGAAACACAAACAAAAATAAAAAAATCAAGAACAGGGAAAAGAATCAAGAAGACTGAACACAACAGAGGTACATTATTATAGGCCAAGAAGATAATGTTAGGCTGAAATCTCGAACAGCCTGCAAAACAAAGGCCTACCATCCATCTTCAGCAGTGATAAATGAGAAGAAACAAAAAAATATGGCAAAAATATGATGGGAACAAGTCATGTGGCATATGGTATGGTCTTGATTCATGGAATTTGAGGAGGGGGTATTACCACAAACAGTATACTATCAAAGGATGTCGGGACCATGCGAAATCGACTCCTCATACCAACAGACATCTGAAAAAGAACAATGATTGAAATTTAGTTCCAGGTAGAGATCATCAATCAAGCTTTGCCTATTCATTACATTCTAGAATTGAAAATGCAATGTCCAAACTCCTTGTTCATAACCTGATAAGACAGTTCGAGCGATTACGTGGTATTATTGAAAAAGTCGAACCACCAACCGATGAATTATTGGGGGTCGTCACTCACGCTGTCGTTGATCTCCATTCGGGTATGATCATTATGATGAATAGTCTTGAAAAGCATCCCTCCACTTTGATTCTTGGCTTTATAAAAGAAGTGACAAAGGTCAGTCGCTAAAAATGGAGAGGACAGCCACAAACACAAGAACCATACTCATCGAAACATTACCTGTGCCTTTCGCATTTGATCTTAGGCAACTTTCATATGACTATCACATGATGAAGCTTAAAGAACCATCCCTGTTTTAACTCAAGAATCTAATCGCAATTGGCCTATCAATGATGACTATTTCATCAAACTTAATAATGGCCTATCAATGATGACTATTACATTATACTTGCATAAGGATACAGTCACATCATAGGGGGCGGTGCTTAGAGCATAGCCATACGATGAGTTCGGCTTCCTACATCGAAGGTACCCTAAACCATTTTTTGTTTTAAAAAAGTTCGCACCGATCCAAGCCCGAACTTTGGAGACTATCCACATAATTGACGAGTCAATTCACATCAATTACATCAAAGAAAAAGAAATCAATCCTGTTCACAACATTGTAGAAGGAGCAGCAATCAATGAGTAAGAAATTCAGTGGCCAAGAAGAGAAACTTACAAGGATGATGGCAGAGACTTTAGAGAGCAATTATCATGACATCTCTCTACTGAGAGTTGCGAGTGCAGGCATAACCTTCTTGTACTCTCTGCTGAGTCCTTATCTTAATTTCATAACACCATGATTTGCCCTTTTTTGTGGCATTTGTGGTGTCAAAAAGAAAATTTCGAACCACATGTAATGGAACGAAACCGAAATATTCCAATTCATTAAACATGCTTTAAAATAGACAGGTCAATAAAACAACTAAATCATTGATAGCCAAATGGAAAAATTGATGATACATAATCTTGGCACAATCTCCAGCAAGTTAGTCAATCAATTGTACAGTCATATTCTAAATCTTTGAAAATTGTGGTCCTGGTGAACAAGGCAGGAATGATGAGACGGTAAGAAGCACACATATTTTATCATTATTTTGACAACCGTCCTTATAGAACATCAGTTAACAAAAGCTCCCACTGCTACCTACTACCGTCCATAAGGATGATAACGACCAGTTGGAGTACTCCCTGCACCATCGTATCCTCCTCCTCCTCCTCCTCCGCCTCCTCCTCTACTTCCATAGATCGAGCCTCTACCACCTGCCGGGTATCCAGCGCCAATGCCCATATCGTAGCTACCTGCATACCCACCAGTATTAGGAGCACCACCGCTGTTATACGTGCTATAGCTCTCGTCAGGTCCACCATAACCGCCTCTCAAATCATAACCTCTGCTAAAGCCAGCTCCATAACGAGCTGAATACCCCATAGAAGGGTCTTCCCTGTATGCTCCAATGCTACTAGTACCATACATTCCATAGCCACTAAAATCACTTCCACCATATCCACCATATCCACCATAGCTACCACCTCTAGCACCGTATGGTCCACCTGCCCTAAAACCACCACCATACCCGCCACCTCCAAACTCCCCATATGCATCACCATAGCCACCACTGTAACTTGGCCTTGAATCATGGTATCTCTTTGAAGGGGCGGGAGGTGGATTTGCCTTTTTCGGCTCAGCCTTCTTGATCTCCACCTTTAAAACAAAGAAGCATTAATCTTAACTGTTAAAATTGACTTCAACTGATGAATATATTTAGTAAATAATTTCTATTCTTTTCAACATGACCAATACAATGAAAAAACCATACAGGAACCGATATAAAACCTCATTGCAACTAACCTTTTCTTTTCAACGTGTATCTTAATTTGATAAGCATGTGATTGAAAAAAAATGGCTTTCAGTAAGAGACAATGGCAGTGATCGAATGAGCTTTGATTATGAAAATGTTCAAAAGTTGATTCCATTCACTTTGATTTTCTCAGTTTAAAATGTTTTAGTATTAGAGTCAATAAACTGGAAAAAGTAATCAAACAATACGCAGCACTGCTTCAATATATATATATATATATACCATTTCCTACTAGTTTACATTTTACGTCGCTTACTAATGGTTTCCAAAATCATTATGCAAAATAGATTTCAAAGATTTAAAACTTTTTCAAACTTCACTCCAGATGAACCCTGAGCAACTCTCGCAAGAAATGAATTTGAGGCTTCCTATAGACTTCTCAATTGAATAATATGGTGCCATGGGGTAACTTCGCCTTAGTTCAGTAAATTGTATTCGCGTACATATATAGAGATTTAAGAAATTTAGAACTTGAGTGAATGACAGGTTCGAAGTGGAACTAATAAGAAATACTGACTACTAAGCCAGAACTTTTGGACTTTTCAAATCAAATCTCTCTTTAGTATCATATATGTTAGAAAAAGGTTCAGATTCCAAAATCCAAGAAATTGATCGACAAAATAAATACGAAGGCCATGCAACCACAAGTTTGTCCATTGCTCAAACAGAATTGATAATTGATCAAAAACAACTAGCCCATTGGTAAATAGAATCTAAAATCCTGTGTACATAAATTATTTTCTATAAAAGATAGAAAGTGAAAATGTGAGATTAGTTCAGCTAGGAAAGAACTCTGCTGACCTGACTGCCGGCAAACTCAAGCCTGTTTCCGTTTGCCAAGAGTTCATCAACTGCTTGCTCTGTCTCAAATGTAATGAAACCAAACCCACGAGACCGACTAGTGGAGTGGTCACGCATAATCTGGTGTTCCTGAACCTCGCCGTATTGCATAAAAAAATCCCTGAACTCATCTGCTTGACACTTAAAAAGTGAGCACGCTATACCTCATAGTACCATCTAAACAATCATTCATGTAAACAATAAGTTACCTTCGTCTACAGATGTCGGAATTCCACCAACAAAAATCTTCTTGGTCTTGAAATCTCGAGAACTAGAAGAACCTTTGGGTATTGTTCGCTTGATTTCCACCTAAAGTTAAGTCAAAGTTTGAGCTTGAAATCATTGAAACCTAACAGCTAACTCAAAATCAACACTAAATGCAGGCCTACTTGTTTCCCATTAATAATATGTGAGTCCTCAATGACTTTATCTACCACAGAGGGATCAGCATAAGTCACAAACCCGAATCCGCGGGGATGACCAGTCTTCCGGTCCTTCATTATAACGGAGTCCGTAATTTCTCCATATTCACCGAAATGATTAACAAATTGTGCTGCAAAATAATCAATTGAAACCCCCACTATTACAATAACAACAAAACAACAATTCATAGGAAAGGCACAACCGTATGAAAAAACTAACCGGAAGTTGTTTCCCTCGGTAAACCTCCAACGAAGATTTTCCTGCAGCAGCATTCAAATAACCAAAAAACACGGATCAAAAAACATAAAACCAAACGTCAGAACCCTATTTCCGCGATTTCATCACGAACCCCATTCCCGCACCACAAAATACTCCAAAAAAAAAATAACCCCGACAATGATAACTTACCCAGCACTGGCCCCATCGCCATGAGAGGCACGGTCATGTCTACTCCCATCGTCTTCATGGTTCGAGGTCTTGGGGTCGTCGTGTTCACCATTAGTAACACCATCATTTACCTTGGAATCCATGGAGTTTTCCGACATTAATGGAACAGAGGAGCTTGAAGAGAGGGAGGATTAAGAGAAATGAACAAGAAAAATGACTAAGCCCTAGAAGACATGTGTTGATGCTCGCTGGTTTCGCAGCGCCGAGAACGGAAAAATGGCGCCCTTAAACCCTAGAATTCGCAATTCGCCACAACCTCGAGCCGGGCCCGCCAATTCACCGTGCTATAAATATATCGGTTTCTTATCTGCTGCGCTCCGGCCTATTTTAATCGCGTATAACCGGAATTTCCTACTAAAATTACAAATTTAACCCTGCCATTTTAAAAAAATAGAGTTAAATTTTAAATTGAAACTAATTTAAATGCATTTTATTTAAAATTTTATGTAAATAAGTAAAAAAAAAAAAGGCTAAATTATAAAAAATATAACTAATTTTTGTCTTTTTTTTTTTTAATACACTATTTAAAAAATAATAATATTATTGTTGCTTCGAGAATGAGCAATAACCTGTGTGTTTGTTCTCGAGCTAATGTGGGTTTACGGGGAGAGTGGATCTTCACTGATGCAACTATCGGTCATTAGATCGTTCTTTTAGTGTGATAAAAGGTCAAAAACCTAGGAACTATGAACTTTTTTCTCGGAGCGCACAAAATACGACACCCTGCTAACCTATCGGTCTAAAGAGTAACCATTTGAAGCAATCATCCCCCTTACAACCCATAATCCACTAGATTAGTTATCGGGTAGCCAATGTGCAGACCTGATGTGAAACGAGTTGTCGTTTCGTGCAACTTCCGCCGATCACCCAGAGAAGAACGAGCAGCATAAGAGCGAAATGCAACATTTTCAGTTAAACTCGATCTAACGTCATTAAGTTAACGACACAAAAAGGGGGCAAGATTTTAGTCTTAAAATGGAGGACAAGATTGAATATTGAGAAATTGATGATCCGAAGAAAAAAACTTGTTAAACTCCACTCAACCTGTAAGGTTTTTGTTGAGTTGTGAACTACCACATCGGTTCGAGATGGGAACGAAGTACTGTTTATAAGAGTGTGAAAATGTATCACTAACAGACGCGTTAAAAACCATGAATCTAACGGCAAGATGTAATTAGCCAAAACAGATAATATCTGTTAGCGGTGAGTTTGGTTTAAGAAACCCATCCATAATAGACACGTTTCAAAACCGTGAGCTTAACGGCGAGACTAATAGGCCAAAGCAGAGAAACATCTCTCTAATATATTATTCATTGATTTATTTTTAATATTTTATTCTTCACACGTCATAACTCCACGAATTTATATATATATATATAATTGATTTTATTTTATTTATTTATTTATTTTACAAAAGCCGTCAGTGGAGTCTTCAAGCCAGATGCAACCGACAGCTGTCGGGAATAACCATATTCTACAATAAAACGACGGCGTTTCAATGATTGAGATTGCTTTACCAGCTTTTTATCTAAATTGCAAGTCTTTAATTGAGTGAAGCTAAGACTAGAACGTTAACTTAGACTATGCTTTATTTATTTATTATTATTTGTTGGAATTAAAATTAAAACGAGTTTTTTAATTTTTTTAATTTTTTTCGAAAAATTTTTAAAAAATAATTTTTATTTAATTTTTTGACCAAATTTTTAACTATCTAATAAACTAGTTCATCCGTTTTAAAAAATATTTAAAAATTATTTTTTGTTTTATTTTATCATCAAGTTTAATAAAATAATTATACTATTAAATTATTCAATAAAATACAATATTAATATTTTTTAATTTTATATTTTACGACACCAAAAACTTGAATGGAGCTAGAATTAAGACATCGTCTTCGATCATGCTTTATTATTATTATTATTTTTTGAAGTCAAATTAAAACTCGAATTTTTAAAATTTTTATTTTGTATTGGATATTTAAAAAAAAATAATAATTTTGGTTCTTTCCTCATTAAATATTATATTTAATAATTTAAATTTTTTTAGTTACGTTTTTCTAAATATTTAAAAATTATCGAATTTGATAAAATAATAATAATAAATAATTCAATAAAAGACGGAACATGAATATAACCCTAAATTAACTATATAGATTAATCTTACGATACGTTGAAAGTACGATGACCAAATTTAAATATTTAAAAGATTAATTATTGGTATCTAAATGTTTTTTTATTATTATTTTTTTTTACAGTTATATTTGTAAGAAAATGACCCAATGTTGTTGCTAAGTTATTTATTCTTGTACCCTACAAAATAGGTTTAATTAAAATTTTGACCCCACCCTTTTGGAAAATAGCATTTGGGCCCAAGAAGCAATGTCCGACCAAACATTGAGGTATCTCTTTGTCCATTTACTCCAATTTGAGAAAGACCCCTCTTCCCGGTCTTCTAAAAACCTAAGTTTACTGCTAACAGATATTGTCTGTTTCGGTTCATGTATCATCATTAGCCTCACGATTTTAAAACATATCTACGAGGGAAAAGTTTATACACCTATAAAAAAATGTTTCGTACTTCCCTTTCAATTAATGTGGGACCTCACAATCTACCCCTTCGGGGTCCTAACGTATTTGTTGACATACTGTCTCGGAACATGGTTTTGATACCATTTGCAACAACTCAAGTCCACTGTTAGTCAATATTGTCCGCTTTTGTCCATTACATATAGCTAACGATTTAAAAATGCGTATACTAAGGATAAGTTTATCTGTAATGAATGTTTTGTTTCCTTTTTCATAATATAGTTACTCAACAGAGGTCGAAGAGTGTGGATGATAATTCTACACGAGGTATTAAGTCGTTTAAGGACTATAACTCGAGCCTTTATTAAACCCGCATCGAGGAAGATTGCAAGTTGCAATTGTAGCAACTATATTGAATAATTCTTCTCGAGAAATGATGATTATTTTTCGAGTTTTATAAGATAAGGAATCGTTTAAGTGGAACCCTTTTATTAGGTAAAAGCAATAGGAGAAAGAATTGCTTGAATGAAAGGTTTGCTTTGGACAATTACTTGTAAGTGCTTGAAATCCACAAGGACTACTTTCTCTCTCCTCTATTCTCTCTCTTAAACCGATTCACGGCGGAGAGAAACTGGACGGGTTTCTTGGAATCTCCATAACTTGAAGTGGGTCGAGAAGATTCTGAAGAAATATTGAAGGAATATGAACAAATTTTAGAGAGAGAAAGTTAGAGAGAGAGAAGAATTTGGATAGGATCGATGGATAGCTTGCTCTGCGATGAATTGATTCAAGAAATTTTTCAAAAGCTGCCGTCGCCGTCGTCTTCCGCTGTGTCTCTGGTGTCGAAGCGGTGGCTCCGACTTTACCGGACCTCCAAAACCGCCTTGTCTCTCCGCCTCTGTGATTCCTCTGTTTCATCTCTCTCGTCTCTCCTCTCCCACTACCCCTTTCTCTCATCCCTTTCAATTCTCTCTGCCGATTCCTCCGCCGTGCCGACCGCCACTCTTTCCACCCAAGTCATCTGGAAAATCCGCCGTTTCTGTGAAAATCTTCAGTCTTTAAGACTCCTCGCCGGTCCTGTTTCTCTCTCATCGCTTATTTCTCTATCCTCTGTTTGTACCCACCTCGCTTCTCTCTCTATCAACATATCTCGGCCGTTGAATTTCCGGTGGGTCGTTAATTTCCCATCTCTGAAATCGCTCTCTGTCTCGGTTAGCTCCGGCGAGGGTTTTGAAATTGAGTTGAATTCCGACGATTGGGAGTGGGAATCGGCGGATTTGGCGATTCAGAGCCTCTGTTTATCCGGTCTCCGCGCCGGCGATTGGGGCGCCGGCTGGCTGTGGCGAAGCTGCAAGAATCTCCGACAATTGCAACTCCGTAGCTGCGAGACCGTCGGCGATGGTGGGTCGTTTTCGTCCTTTGTCGAGTGTTTGCCAAGCCTCCATGAAGTTGAGCTCCGAACTTGCCGGAGCATCGCCGACGGCGTTCTGATGAAATTAGCAGACAATTGCCGGAATCTTACCTCCCTCCTCGTCTATGACGGCGGCAGTAGAGAAGGTAGATTAAAGTAAATTCTTCCCTTCGTTACCGAGTTATTAACTTATATAATAATAAATATATAAACTCGAGCCGAATAATAGAATAAGTTACTCACTTATGAAATAATTACGGTAGAATTAGTTGTAATATTGTTAGTAATTTTAACTTAGAGAACAATTACATTGAAATTGGTGGAAGTTTTGTGCTCGTGACCGGTTTTATCCACTCTAGTTACTGTTTTATCCACTATAGTTACGGCTTAAGATTACTTTGTTCTACTATAGTTACTGCTTTATCCACTATAGTTATGGCTTAAGATTACTTTGTTCTACTATATTTACTACTTTATCCACTATAGTTACGGCTTGATATTACTTTGTTTTACTATATTTATTGTTTTATCCCTCTTTGTTCTACTGTAATTACTACTTAAGATTACTTTGTTCTACTATAGTTACTGCTTTATTCAATATAGTTACGGCTTAAGATTACTTTGTTCTACTATATTTACTGCTTTATCCACTATAGTTATGGCTTAAGATTACTTTGTTCTACTATATTTACTGCTTTATCCACTATAGTTACTGCTTGAGATTACTTTGTTTTACTATATTTATTGCTTTATCCCCTATATTTACGGTTTAAGATTACTTTATTCTACTGTAGTTACTGCTTAAGATTACTCTGTTCTACTGTAGTTACTGTTTTATCCAATATAGGGCTTATGATTACTTTATTCTACTATAGTTACTGCTTTATCCACTACCGTTGCTGCTTAATTTTACTTTGTTCTACTATAGTTACTGTTCTATCCACTATAGTTATAGCTTAATATTACTTTGTTCGAAGAGATATCTTCCCTCAATTTTTTCCTTTGCTTATTTTGCTTGTTGTTTTGACGTATTTCGATCGTGGGTCAAATTCAACAAAGGTCTCCTCCGATTCCTCAACGACCACCGAACCGAATTGCAGAGTCTAGACCTTCGTCTTCCTCTCGACCTCAACAACGAGCATCTCACCGCCATAGCCGCAAACCTTCGAGGTCTCTCATCTCTCCGGCTACAAAGTTGCTGTCTCGTCACCGGCGATGGTCTAAAAGCCATCGGCCTCGCCCTCGGCCCCTGCCTCGAGGAACTAGCGTTAATTAACTGCGACGTGGTCGCGAGAGAATCCGGGTTGCTAGCCACTATGGGACAGAGCTTGAAGCAATTGAAAACTCTTGACTTATCTTACAATGAGATGTTGCTTGACAAGGACTTCAGCTCCATGATCATCTCTTGCAGCTCCATTACAGAGCTCAACCTCCGCGGCTGCAAAGGGCTGACCGGAGCCTCCATCTTGGCCACGTGGCGGAGCTGCAAGAACTTGGAGGCCATTGACATTGTTCAATGTCCAAGAATTCAGGCCAGTGCTTTGGAGCTCTGTGTGCTGAATTTGCCCAAGTTGAGACAGCTCAAGGTTGAAGACGACAGGGTTTCCGACATCGTGGGGAGCTCGGCGTCGCGCCGATTCGTCGATATTGTTGTTTGATCCAAATGGGGTCAAAGAAAACCCCAATTTTAAGATCATATAAATAAGAAGGATGATTCATAAATTATACTCTTTCATGTTGGAATAAATGTTCGATGTTTACGTGAAAATAAAATTAGGGTTTATGGGTTTGTTTTTTTTTTTTTAAATTATAATATTAACGTTCACTTCTCATAAACGACACAAAATTGGATCTTAGAGAATAAATTTATTAGAAAGTCGGGCAGAGAATTGAGGTAGAAACGATTGCGAATGACGTGTGTATGAATTAAGCTTGAAAAAAGGCATAAACCATCCGTCAGACAGAGATGCTCTCGTGGCATGGCGGAAAAAAGACATAAACCATCTGTCAGATAGAGATGCCCCCGTGGCATGGCGGGTGCGAGGACGGAGGCAGGGAATATATTTTCGTCACCGGCCCCATTTATCTAACTGTAAAAAAATGTTTCCATTCCCTCCTTCATTCCGTGCATAGACAGTGGATCCCCGTTTAGAGCGAGTCCTTGCAAATAAAGTGAATACGAGCATTTAAAGTATTTGTAACAACCCAGATCCACCACTAGTAGATATTGTCCTCTTTAGGCTTTCCCTCTCAGGCTTTAAAACGGGTCTGCTAGGGAAGACTTCCACACCCTTATAAAAAGTGATTTGTTCTCCTCCCCGACCAATGTGGGACATCACGAGGATATTTGTACTTTTCATACAAATTATATCTGAAATTTATAAGATCTACTTTTTCACCACGAGCATAATTTAGTTATAATTATTATTAAGCTGCGTTCACGTTACAATATTGTATTAATTTTATTTTTAATTATCTAAAAATTATTTAACTAAAATCTTCCTTCATAAACAATTATACATCGACTTTCCTTAATTATATTATTAATATTGGTACTTATCAGATAGATTAATTAAATTATTTTGGTCTTTTAAAAATATTTATTAAATAAAAAACAGCATTTTTAATTTTTTTTATGGGAAGTGTGGTGTTTTTAAAAATATTATTGTAAAATAAAAAATAAAAAAAGGGGCAGGAGATGAGCTGTCAAATTATTTATTTATTTATTTAAAAAAATGAATTTGTCAAAGCAACTTTTAGTTTGAAACAGACGTACCAACTCTATTTAATTTCCATATTTTCTGTTTTATTATTATTATTATTATTATTTTGTAATTTTATCTTTTTATTTACTTTATTATTAAATTAATAATATAATTTGAGCCTTTTTATGTATATTTTCAATTTTTTAAAATATTATTAATAAATACTGAGATATATTTTTGAGCTAATGAAAAAGGAATAAAAATAATTAATTATTTGTCTTTTTTTTGTTCCAATTATTCACGTCCACGTGGATTCGTTGCACCGCCAATGTAATTGCCACGGCATAATTAAGGATTTGTTTTTTTTAAATTTAAGTTAAATTGTTTCCGGTTGAGTTAGATTTTTTTTTATTTTTTTTATTGTTCTGGGCTATGTTTATTCGATTCGTAGACCCGACTAATATGAAAATAGGGTTACAACTCGACTATACCCCACTTTTTAAAAGATTAAGAATACGTCTGTCACCAACTTATCGACCCGAAATTTCAGGTTGGTCTAAAAGATTTTTTCAACCTATTTCGAAATCTCGTTAGCATACCGTCTGATGTCTAACTTTGATTCTACTTGTAACAGTTTACGTTCACTGCTAGCAGATATTATACTATTTAGAACGAATTTTCGTTCAAAGGCTTCCCCTCGAGGTTTTCAACCTATCTCGAAATCTCGTTAGCATACCGTCCGATGTCTAACTCTAATACTATTTGTAACAGTCAAAGTTCATTGTTAGCAAATATTATCCTATTTAGGACAATTTTCCGTTCAAAGGCTTCCCCTCAAGGTATTTAACCCATATCGAAATCTCGTTAGCATACCGTCTCATATCTAACTTTGATACTACTTGTAATAGTCTAAGCCCACCGCTAGTATATATTGTCCTATTTAGGATGATTTTTCGTTCAAAGGCTTCATCTTAAGGTGTTAAGAGGACGTTTTCATATCCTTATAAGAAATGTTCTGTTCCCTTCCTCTCACGTAATGATTATACCGTTCTCAATCCTTTTGATTATTAATTAAAAAAAAATTGTTTTTACATTTTCAATAAAATTTTGATTTAAAAAAATAATTAATATGTTCATGAATTTTTAATTAGTGTCTAATCCGTCTCTAATTTAAAAAACATCAAATACGTCGTTAATTTTTTTAAATGGCTTATAATAAAAACTTATTTATCAGACTTTTAAATCAAATATAAATATAAAATATAAAATATAAAATACAAAATTTTATAAATCGATAATATTTTAATTTTGCATATCTAATAAATTCATAAATTAAAAAAAAATATCTTTAGATAACCTTAAAATTTTATTGAATATTTTTTAAAATTTAATCACTTTTTAAACATTTGATAAATATTAATATAAGAAATTATTTGTTATAAATTTAGAAACGAAATAAATAAATGAGTACGAAACTTTTTATTTTATTTTATTTTTTTAATTCAACAATTAAAAAGTGAAAAAAAAGTGGAAAATTCAAAAGAGAGTGGAGGGTGTCGAGCGCCGTTCGCCGAGCGTGAGCGAAAGGGGCGGACTCCCGGTCATTCAGCAATCAATCGAGATAGCGGAGCTCGAGGAGGCCGAGGCTATGGCGACGGAGTCGTCGGAAGGAGAAGACGATGTGAAGCTTACAGGAGGAAATCAAGTTCTCGTGGTTGAAGACGATCTCAGAGAAATGGGGAAAAAGGCCGCTTGGAGTGTTAGCTCGTGCAAACCTGGGAATGGCGTCTCCGCCCTACGCGATGATAACCTTGAAACTTATTGGCAGTTAAAATTCCCTCTCTGCACTTCTCCTTATGTTTGCGGCATGAAATTTTTTGTTTCGTATTGCTAATACTGTTGGTTACAGATCTGATGGCGCTCAACCTCATTTGGTGAACGTTCAATTTCAGAAGAAAGTGAAATTGCAGGTATGAGATTGTGACTCTTATAACTTCGAACTGTTAGAATTCTATTTGAGGTCGAAATTTTGAGGAATAATTGGGGATTTTTGCAGCTGGTTGTTCTCTACGTAGATTTTAAGCTTGACGAGAGCTACACGCCGAGTAAGGTATCTATTCGCGCAGGGGACGGCTTCCATAATTTGAAGGTAATTCATAATTTTCAGGATTTCTCTCCAAACATACAAGTTTTTAATCATTTTGAATATATTACTTTGGTTGAATTTAGGAAATAAAAACCGTGGAGCTCGTTAAGCCAACTGGTTGGGTTTATTTATCATTGTCCGGAAGTGATCCAAAGTAAGTGCAGAACATCAACACCACTTACCATTTCTGTTGTTTTTTTGTCCGTTTTCTTCATAAAATATCTTCGCTTCAGTGAACTGTTCTTGTTTGATTCAATCTTGGGTTTTAGATGAAGCGCCAAATAATAGATGCAGTTGTTAGGATCAGAAATGGGTTATCTTGGGTTTAATCTCAATATGCCTCAACATTGTTCTTATCTAGAGTTTTGTTTTATCCCTTAAATTATTGGTGACAGGACTAGTATTTCCTTGAGCTAATAAAGTAGTTTGTTGAAATCTCTTATCATAATAATTCAAGCGACTCGTTATTCTTGGTTCATCGGGAGGGATACTTCTAAAATAAGAGTTGGAACAGACTTCACGAGTTTGATTCGATAAGGAGCGTTTATATCACGAAAGATTTATTGAGTTTGATAGCTTGTGCTAGAAATACTGAAACATAGGCAAGAAAATTACAAGTTATAGCTCCCAATCAGAGAGGCGTTGTCCTCTTCACTTTTAGCTACTCACTACCAGCCTACCCCTCTGATAGGCCCCTCTTTTTATCCTTTTCTTACAGTATTACAAAAGAGGGCGTCCCGCCACCTGACTAAATGCCTCACACTTCCATTGTGCAAGAACAGTCTAACACTAACCCCCTTACATTTAGGCATACACTTTGTCCTAGTAGATAATGCAATTGGGAGTTTTCCACCCCTATTGAAATTGTTCTTTTGAATTCGCAGTTTACCTCTTTCATATTCTTCTTAGTGACAATTGATGATTTTTCCTTTTAGGCACCAAAAAAAAGTATTTTCTTTTGTTGGCCATGACTAAGTGACTACGATCAAAACTTGACCCTCTTGATTGTCTCTCTCTACAACTGGTCTCTTTTTTCTCTCATTTGCTCATATCCAAGTCTTCTCTAACTATGGACACATGAATTTCATACTTCCTGCTTGGGATCTAGCAAGAGTCATCCATGAAGCCAATGGTGAAGTTGTAAAGGCCCAAGCCCCATATATTGTCCTCTTTGGACTTTCCCTTTTGGATTTTTCCTCAAGGTTTTTAAAACGCGTCTGCTAGAGAGAGGTTTTCACACCCTTATTAAAGGTGTTTCGTTCTCCTCCCCCAACCGATGTGGGATCTCATGATCCACCATCCTTGGGGGCCAGCGTCCTCGCTGGCACTCGTTCCCTTCTCCAATCGACGTGGGACCCCCAGTCCACCTCCCTTCAGGGCCAGTGTCATTGTTGGCACACCATCTCGTGTTCACCTACCTTTGGGACTCAGTCTTCTCGCTAGCACATCTTCTGATGTCTGGCTTTGATACAATTTATAAAGGCCCAAGTCCACCGCTAGCAGATATTGTCCTCTTTGGGTTTTCTCTTTTGGGCTTCCCTTCAAGGTTTTTAAAACACGTATGCTAGGGAGATGTTTCCATACCCTTATTAAGAGTGTTTCGTTCTCCTCCCCAACCGATGTGGGATGTCACAGAAGCAATGCAAAAATTGCTTGGAGAAGGGGATTTGGTTGTATATCCTGAAGGGACACGGGAGTCGTATTTATTCAGTCCACTTTTTGCTGAGTTGACTGATGAAATTCTGCTGGTTGCTATGAATACGAGTATGTTTTATTGGACAACAACCATGTCAGACAGTGGATTAAAATGGTTGGATCCAATTTCCTTTTGATGAGTCTGAGCCAAGTTACGGCAATGGTTGTTCTTCCTAACATTTTGAGGGAATTGTCATGTGCTGGAGGGAAATCTAGTTATGAGGTTACTAATTAGATATAAAGACA